CTTGACTCTTATTGATTTAAAGTCTTTTATGGGGGTCTATTTTTGAATCGTCCGTTCACGAACGTATACGTTCAGATTTTATTTTATATAGATTTATATGGTGAATGTTGTTGATGAATACGTTCGGAACGTATGAAACATCGAACGAACGACCGTTTAGAACAATAAAAATCATTCGTTCACAACGGATGATAGGAACCATCGATACCGAACGGACGGTCATTTATAACAATAGAAAGGTTTGACCATTATAATTGCTAGAGCTCTGCATGGTTGGGTTTGAACCGGTCCGGACTGAACCAGACTAGACCACGGTTCGGTCTTATACTTCAAATAATAAATTGGTCCGGCTCTAGTTGGTCTGTAGTTAAAAATTATCGGTCCTTTTTTTTACGGTCCCTAAAAAGTTCATCGGTCCAGTCCTGGTCTTTAAATGAATTCAAGGACACGGTCTTGGTCCGTCTTCAAATTGAGATATAGTTCACTTTTAATAGAAGTATAGTATTATAAATATATTTGTATTATTGTTTTTAGTAGAAACTCGCGCGTGATATAACAAAAAAAAATTATAATTTTTATCGTAATAGGTTTAACTTGTTTTCGTTATAGTGAACGATGATAGCACTCACTAAAAGTTAAAACAATAAATGTCACATAAAAGCTGAATTCTTTCAAATAATGACCCACGTGCCAATAGAATTTCCAGGATCCTAAAATGTGATTAAAAATCATAGTGCATAATGTATTGCTTTCTTAGACTGTCAATCGTTAAGTGTATTTTATTACTTCATAGTTTTTCTGTACATTTTGGAATAAACTGATCTATTTTATTGACTATAATTATGTCTAGACATAGAAAGGCTATTACTGCCCCATTTAACATACAATATTATTTTGATTCAGTTAAGACTTAAAACCGTGTTTTTAAAGAATTACCCTTGTATTAATAACAATATTACATTTATGAGTCTTTGCACATTATGTTGGATAAAATAAAGTTAGGTAATATCAACCAACATAATCATCTGGCTTTATTTCTTTATCATCAACGAAAGACGTCAGTTATTTTCAATCTGCCTGTAAGTATTTTTTCTTATAAAATAAACTTTTAATTATTTAAAAAATAGTATAATAAAAATAAGCACACATGCTTTTTAGGAGAGATAGAAAATTATTTTGTTTTGTACAGATTTATATTGATAGGTGTTAATTTTTTGTTATAAACGTTACTCGTAAAATATTTATCGTTGTAAAATAATATGCTAATAATAACTTGTTGAACCAAAAATTTCAATTAAGTTAAATAAACTAATCGCTTTTACTTAATATTTTAAGTGAAAGCTTATTCAAATATATCGTAATAATTAACAATCAGTCATGATTTAATTACCCTATATGTAAGACAATATTTTTTTCTATTAAATAAATTTGATGGTATGAAAAAAATTGGGGTTGCCATTTGTCATTTAAAATGGTAGCACAAAATTAAATTTTCGTTTAAATTGCTCAACAATGAATCGTTAATGTAAAAAAAAAAAAATATTAACAATAATAATTTTAAAGCTATTTCGTGAGCCATACTTAAGAAATCATTCTGTATGTATAAACTAAATATGTTAAATTCTGTTCAACACGAATTTGAAATTATTAGTTTACTCAAGGATATTTTTGAGTTATTGAATTTTTTTATATCCTATACAGAGTGATTATTTATCATAAATCATTAACTCAATTACACACAAAATAAAAATAATTATAGTTAACAAAAAACATTTTAGTCTTGTTTTTTTTTAGAGTCATGAATAATTCTCTACAAATTCGCGAGTTCTTGAACTCAACTTCGGTGAGTTCTATTGATGATGACTTTTCAAAAAATTCTATTATTCCTTCTAACTTAGAAAATACAACTCAACACCAATAAATTTAGAAAAAAATCCAGCATTTACCGTCTCTAAAAATACTGTTAAAAGAAAATTATTGAGTGATTCTGGTGATTATACTTTGTTTCTTCACGATGGTAAAAGTAGTGCATGGAAGAAATCTAAATCTTCACCTAAATCTTGATAAAGATTTTAAATTTATAGTGAAAAGGTCAAATGGCGAAGTTCATGCAGTCGTTACCGATTTTATACCAGCATATCTCCGAAGAGGTTATCCAGCTGTCAGAAAATGGATAAAAAAGGATATTCATACTTTATGAATGTGCCAATGAATGTGTATGGGGGACATTGGATATTGACTGTTGTTAACGTACCTGAAAGAATTGTGAAATCATATGACAGTCTTAAGTCATGTGATGGTTCTTATCCTGTGGTGTTTAAAGAGTATCTAACCGACTGGGAGATTGAAAAAAGGGAGCAGCTTCGTCGTGGACTTTGTAAGATTAAGACACAGAGAAGAAATTATAGCCGGTCAACTATTTTTATAATTTCTTATGTTTTGCAAGCTTATTGTTATTATTATTTTATGTTATTTTTCTTTGTTACATTACTTTATTAAATAAAATTTATTTTTATGTATACATTTAATGTATATATTAATATAAAGTTATCTCAAATCAAATAATTTTATATTTAAATAGCTATGTTGTGTGAATACAGAAACTATACAATAAACGCTTATAGGAAAAATAAGTGAAAAAGTTTTTTAATTACGAATTTTAAAGTTAATGGATTTATCAACATTTTTAATAACTTTAACTAATAATAATAATAATTTTAACTGATTGATGATTAATAAATAGTTTCACAATTTTTTTGAATTTATAACTAAGTTTGTATTTATAAAAATTTATTTTCAGTAATTTTTTATAATTTATTATACTGATTCATTACCCCACCACAAAACTAAAACCCAAATTAATATAAATTAATTAGGGTTATAAATCACGTATAAACTGGAAGTGGAAAACAACGCCTACATCAGTACATGCATATTTGGCAGACACCTGGGACCGGTTGAATAGTTGACTGTTATATTACATACACCACTCAGTTGTACACTATCATTCAGTAGTCTATATGTTATTATCTATTTATCATCAGATTAAAAATGTATTATTCATGTTAATACTTTAAACTATTTCAAGAAATATGTCTAAAAATACATTGATATAAATCTACTGTAATAATTATAAGATACTCTTTAGTTGTGACAAATTATCTATTTAAGTAAAATAATATGTAATAAATAACACAATTGAGTAATAAACAGATAATAGTAAAAGGTCGTGACACCTCTTGCATATATAGATGAATTAAATTTAATACAAAAGGGCATAACAATTGTCAATTTCTCTCACTACTACTTCACCTTATGAACTTTTAATAAATGCAAGAAGTGGCTTGACAAAACACGATTTTTCATAGATAATTGAAGTATATTCATTTTTTCAACATTAGGCCTGATAACATTAAGGTAAATTCATATTTTACAAAAGATCCATAAGGTTTAAAGTTAAGTATAATAAGTACATAAATTAAGTAGAAAACCAGAAAAAATAATGTGATCTCTAGAATAAAATATTGTCTAAATAAATAAAGAGAATCAATAACGTTTGTACGAAGTTAGCCAGTTTAGTCTAATTTTTGAGTGGGTTACCTGTGTAGTCAATACTAATAAAAAAACCCAGCACAGGGGGGTCGCGGCACAGTTGTGACGTGGTATAGTTGGATCAAGTATAATGATATCTGACAGTGATTAAAATCACTATCAAAAANAAAAAAAAAAAAAAAACACATCATAGTAAAACCAATACCTTCTCAGCTTCGCATCGAAGCTAAAAGACTCTCTTGTGAAGATAGAGAACCTACTTTTGGTTCCTATACTACTCGAGGTATTTATTGACTCGACTTGCAGTTAACACAAGCCTAGATCACTACTGGTACGAGTGGCGTTGTTGATGATCTATGTGTGATAATTAATCACAATAATTTTTCTATTTCAAATTATCATTCTATTAATAAATTTTCAAACATCACTTTGCTTTTCTATACTTTACATCTTCTCATAAACCCTCGTACTCATATCGCAAGAGAAAATTATATTATATCATTTTTTTTATTCAATAAATATTATAGTAACTCAATTATTCTCATGCTCATACGATACCAACAAATGAGATTAATTTTAATAAATTATTCTACTATCAAATTAATAAAATTATTGTTTTAATTAATTTCCTTTTTTTGAGTTACTATATGACAGTTACTGTAGTGGTCAGCGCAGCGACTTCTTATCACGATGACAATATATAATGATTGTACAAGAGAAAAATGAAAAGGGAATGTGCGACTAAAGCACTACTAACCACTCAGACAATAACATTATATTATCAAATTTTTTGTAGTTACACTTAATTATGAGATGTTCAACAATAACTTATATAATTAACGCCTGTTAGATAAGAATGAGTAAATTTTTTTAAGTCATATATAAAAACTTAACTCCTTTTATACTAAAGTTACAAAAATCGATCATTGTTCTTCTTGACATAACAATATTAATTATTTGAAGTTCATTGCAATTTGGCATTTAAACAATCACTAAATTGAACTATCTATTCAGTTGTATAGACTCTTACCATGTGCGGTCGCTAAAATATTCCATTCTGCTACTAATCAAAAGTCTGGTTTGTGATTACATTGATTGTGTAATAAACCAAAAAGAAAAAAGATTAAAAAAGAAAAATTAGTAGAATGGTTGGAATGTAAAATAATAAAATATAATAAATGGTAGGTATAATAAAATATTATAAGATGATAGGTAGGTTTATAGGGATTAATAATGGAGGATAAGAAAAAAAATGGTGGTGATGTGGATTTTACTATTGAATGTATAAATGCTTATATTGTACCAAAAGAAAATCTCTAGAATTAAATATTGTCTAAATAAATAAAGAGAATCAATAACGTTTGTACGAAGTTAGCCAGTCTAGTCTAATTTTTGAGTAGGTTAACAATTAATCACTGTCTATACATTTGCATCTCAGCCTTTCTTATAGTAGTGATTTTAATCATTGTCAGATATCATCTATACTTAACCTAAATACGTCATGTCCATACTATGTAATGACCCACTGTGGTTCCATTTTTAAAAATTTTAAATTAACCAAAATTATTAATTTTTTTCAATTTTAAAACTCACATTTATAAATTATAATTTATAAATTACAATTATACAATTGTATATATGTAATATAAATAAAAAAAAATAATTGTTTTATCAGTGAAAAATTTATTTTAAAAGAATTGAACAAACATTAATAACAATTGAACACGTATTAACAATTCGTGACGTAGTTTATTTTATATTATATAGTACACCATAACATAACCAAATAGTTAATTTTGCGATAAGGAAAAAGTAACCAACTATTTAATCAACTTAATTACACGACGTACGAATTTTAAAATAAAAACCTTTGTTTTTTTATTGATTACGTATTACTAAATAACTCAATCAGAATGAATTATAACATCTTTATATTTATCTTGGCAGTGAACGTATCAAGTGAACACAAAAAGTATGATAAAGGGTATGCAATTAATTTTTTAAATTCATTTTTACAAGAAAATAAATGGAAAATTTCATCAGAGAAATTTATGTATGACCATGTAAGCAAGAGTAAAGTTTTAATATATGATCCACTATTAAATAAAAAAAAATGTTCTAAAGGTTACATCGTCAATACAAAAAATGTTAATCAAAAATTTAGAGAAACAATGTAGCTTGTTAATTACGAGTACACAAAAAGTTTAGCATGGATCGTGTATCACGTAAAAAGTATTGCTGAAGATTGTTTTATATATAAAATATGTTCTAAATCAGAAGATTACGCCAATTGTAAGAGTTTATTAGTATCAAGTATTGAGATTTCCAAAAAACTCATTTCACGTTTTATTAGTGCAATAAATTTTCTAATGAACTTGTTAAATATTAAAACCAATACATTTATTTTAAACGAATTGATAAAATTTTTTGGGTTTATAAGCAGAGAAATAAGTGACAATTCATATGTGAAGCAAATTTATAATAATTTCAATGCAGAGTACGAAGAGAATGATTCTAATTTGATCAAAATACTTCAAAATTATAACATTGATCGAACATGCACTAAAATAAATTGTAATGTGGACCACTTTTAGAGGTATATAGAGAAAAATAATTTACCTAAAACGATTGCAATTTATGAATTTATAGGAGTTAACTTAAGAGAAGGTATTCAAAACATGAATAAAACATTGTATACTAATCTGGGCTTCTTTTATGACGAAGTAAATAATGAAACTTCTTATGTTCATGAATGGCACATTGAAAATAAAAAAAAAAAGTTCTTTAATTTTTAACTGTTAAATTTTTAATTTAAAAATTATAAAAAAAACTTTTGTCTATACGTGTAGATTGAAATTGTACCATTATTGGTAAAAGTACACATGGTCTTCTTTTAGCTTGTAACATAATAAAATTATGATTAGTATAAGGTATAAGGTAACATTTTGTAAAATTTTGTTTAAACTTTATTTATCAAGTTAATATTTGGTATATCTGCAAATTTATTCTGATGATGAACACTTGAATATTGCTTATTTGATCAATATGTACAAATTACATTAATCATGTATCGTTATACTAATTAGAAAATACCTCATACCTGGATATCTGAAGACATTTAATTGTATATAATAACTATAAATCAAGATTCTCTGTTTTAGACTTTTATGTGTTAAATGCTGAATTTATGTAAAAACATAATTTATTGGGCAGAAATATTATTAACTTGATCTGTTTGAATTTACCAGTGTTACATATATTATTTTAGACATCCTAGTCATAATTCCTTTGGAATCCTTGGTCCTAAGTTAATTGTTAATATTCTTTTTTTTCTTTAACGTTATGTTTTTAACATTAATGTTGACATTTAATATATATATATATAGATTTTTTCCTTCTATTATTTTGAGTCTTTATATTTTATTTAATAGTATGTTTTAATATTACAATAACTTTTATTTTATTATGATAATTATAAAATTAACTCATAATAATTAATAAATTTTAATCATTGTTATCTTAAATTAAACCTTTTATTTATAACCTTTTCCCCTTAGGATAAGGTACAATACCATAGTGCTCTGGTTTTACTTTTGGCGTGCCTCGCACGTAGTGTATTCTCCTAGGGGTTCTTCTAAAGTTTAGCTATCTTATATGAGTTTAGTTTACAAGCTAATTTAGAACTTTCAATCTTGCAATATTGTATCTGAAAATTAAATTTATATAGTTTTGGAAAATTAATATTATTTAGTTAATTTGATACTTACTAGTTTATTTTCTACTGTTTCTACAGCACTACTCGAGTCACAAGCAGAATACGGTCATTTAANTAGTTTATTTTCTACTGTTTCTACAGCACTACTCGAGTCACAAGCAGAATACGGTCATTTAATTTCCACTAAATCATTTTCTTCTATTACATCATCTAGACAAACGTAGTAAACATATAGTAGGTAATGTTGTAGTATAGCACAATAATAATTTCTTTATGTCATTGATTATTACTCTAGTTAAAATTAAATTTTTTATACATATAATAAAGTGTATGTACGATTTAAATGTTATCGTATTACATGCCCAGTTTTAGCTATAAAGTAAATTTATAAAAGTTTAAATGAATTATATATAAAAATTATGCCATTTTATACTAACATAAAACAAATTATACATTAGACATAATTATCTGGACAGGCGTCTTGTTNTACTAACATAAAACAAATTATACATTAGACTTAATTATCTGGACTGGCGTCTTGTTGCCTCTTTTAAGTTTTTTGTTACATGTAATCAACATTACTTATAATAATTTTAAATCTTTCATTCAACATTCAATCTTTCAACTTAAATCCCAATTAATAAAATAGCCTCCCAAAAACAAAAACAAATTATCATCATGATAAGAAGTCGCCCAGCTGACCACTATAGTAACTAAAAATAATGTCAACTATGTATGCACTGATTTCGCCTTTGTTTTCTGTTCCGGTTCACGTGTATTGTTGCCGTAAAGTGCTCTACCCGTTTTGTTCAAATGTCTTTTTGGCCTGGTCGTAGAATCATTTTCTCCAGCCATCATTCTCGTTTTTCATTTTGGTATACTTATATATTCATGACTGTCCAACTTTTACTTTTGGCTCTGAAAATCGAGCTATGGGTTAAGACTTGGTTGGCTACTGCTTAGATATCATTGTATTATATTTGTGGTAATATTGTACAGCTATAGGAAACCTTGTATGTATAAAGGGATATAATCCGATTTAAAAAAAAAAGTAAGTCAGATGAAAGGATACCCCTTATAATATTATTATTAAATAATAATATTGATCCATACATTTTTCAAAAAAATTATAG